TGAGAACTCCATTACTGCTAGATGTGCTGCAAGTCCAGAGAAGAAGATGAGAAGGACTGGAGCCTGTCACCTTTAGATTTGTGTCTTCTATGGCCTTTTATGGCCCAAGGTGCCCTGCGTGGCAAGATGCGAATAAATGAGTAGGTAATTGGCCAATTTTTACTTGGCTCCGACGCTCAGGGGAATAAAACAAAAAGAAATTAATCATTTATCCCTCAATCTCGATGCGATTTACTTTAATTTGCTTTTACCCCTAAGCTATGTTAGAATTAGCCTGCGAAGCAAGCGTTTCTGTGGAGTTCGGGACTTTTTTTGGCTCTCTCCCCATTTTCCGCGCGCGGAGGCAAAACACCGAAAATCCCGTTCCTCGGTCTGTCTTTGCTCCCAAACCCCACAGAAACGCTTGTTACGCAGGCTATGTCAGGATAAAACTTGGCCTACTAGTGCCCTATCTTTGCAGAGAGCTAGATCTTTTTAGACACAAATTAAGTTATCATCGTCATCATCATCATCATTATCATCATCATCACCCTTCAGAGGAGCCGATATCAGTGACGGTGCAGCACTCATGGCCTTTGAGTGTGTTGTGGTCGATGAACAAATTAGCAGTTCATACCCAGGCAGACTTGTCACCTCACCAGGCATCACTTCTTGAATTACTTTGTCCACTCTGTTGTATTAAGCTGCGCATTAACTTGGTGAAATGGATAGGGTTAAAACTTCGTGATTCATAGGTCGTGGGATTCAGTGAATGTAATGGTTTTTCTGCTTTTCTCAGAGCCTTTGTTTACAAAATTTCGCCATAGACATACTTATTTCACAAGCATCGTTCGAATTCTCATCGATTCTCTTATCCGTTTCTGGCCTAAAAATTTCAACCAAGGCTTAAATCATTCGAAAATCCATGCAGCTCATCTGTTATGTGATTCGGCAGCAGACTACAGTCCGCGTTGTCTACAGTCTACAGTCAGCTGTGCGCAACTCTTTCTCTTTCTGAAGGAGCGGGTGGAAGTGTTTAGGTCAGTCGCCCACTAGTCTGTGGCATGTCATCAACGTGAATAACTTTGGAAGTGTTGTCAGCTGAAGCAGCGCCCAGAAGGCGAATATACTCAGTTTTGTCCATCACAGCGACTCCCGAGCCTTTTTAATATCTGGTTTGGTAATAACGATGTCGTCGCGTTTCTTTAAACAATTCAGGGCTTTAACGAGAGCCTTGGGTGGACTGGGGCTTGTCCACTGAATATAATTTAATGCGATTCAGCTTAACGTTGAGCCAACCAGTTCCTTATCATTTTCTTCCAATAATGGCTCTATTCTCCAATACGCTCTCTCAAAGCTGGCTTGAATGTCAATGAATGAAAGAGGGTGGCAAGGGTTTTTGCGTGACGCGTGATCGCCCCAAAATTAGCAGCGGGGTGCGTGATTAAGACCAAATTAGCCGCGTGACGCGGGACACGACATCACAACATGATGCGTGATTTGCTATTTTACAAGAACGTGATGCGTGATTTACCAATTAGATTTCCGTGAAAAGTGAATGTTCTTTCAACTAGAAGGATAGCATTCATTCAAAGTAAATAGTAAATAGAGTCTTAGAAAGGATCATCAAAGCGTGGCAGACGTGACACCATTTCCTGGTCTTTTTCTTCCTTTTCTTGACCTCTGGTGTCTTTGATCTTCGTGGATCTCATGGTACTATAGGTCCAAACAATTGTGATACAAATCATAGGAATAAGTAAATTGAAAATAGTTCAACTTTGCACAAGGGCTTCAGTGTTATTTTTGTCCATTTTGTCGACCGATCATTTTTGGCAGTGCATCAGAGCAAGAGAATATGACACACCATATCCGAATCCGGCTATCGTATAAAAGGTCTGAACGAATTTCGTCTGAAAGGGCTGAAACGATAACACGCGTTAGAGTTTGGTGTCATTTTATACCGCTCGAGAGGACAGTCGTGTAAGCAGCGAGAGGCTACCCAAGGGAAACGCTTGTGTGCTACGTAATGAAGGTCGTCATAAAGACCTAACTAAATTCAAAAGCCATGTTATGTCCTTTACAGACATAAAAACGTTGCCGCACAGAAAAGGATTTGCAGGTGTAAAGGTTTGACACAAATATTGCCAGTATATTGAAGCATGGCAAAGGTGGCGTAGACGTCTTCTCAACTCGTATACAAGATCTCTGCCAACTTAGCCTGTGAACAGGCTCCCGATTGTGATACAGGGGAATGATAAAAATATTTAACAAAACGAGCGACTTGTCGTTGTACACCTTAGATCTGGATGTGATGAATTTCCTCTTAGGTATGCGAATCACATACCCGTATTTCCATTTAGAATTGAACTCTGTCATTACATATTTAGCCTGAGCGAGGTTTTAGAACTATAGGCATCCTGGACAAATTCAATTTTATAAGGTGTTGTCCTCGGCGTCGCCTTCTTCGTTTTTATGATCCCTTTATTTGCATCTCGGATGCTGGAAGGTCGATACACTTGTTTAACGACTGGGGTCTGTCATCCTAAGTGGCTACTTTGTGCTTTGCTCATGCTTTAAGACCAGTCGAACGCTGATGAGAGTATCGTGTAAAAACAGTAAAAAATCACATAAATTGCAGTTCTTTGCTAAAGTCCTTTTTAATTCAGCGATTAAGTAGTCGAGCGTTTCGGTAGGAAGTTTTCCCCTCCTGCTGAGACAATCTCGTTTACGTTACTTCGCCGATGGAATACCTTTTCATCTTCCCCATTACTACACGGCAATCGTTTGCATCTTCTTCCTCAGTATAGCTTAAGGCTTTGAACACTTAAAGCCCATCGTCATCAATAACGTCCTTGAACATGGCGAGTTGATACTCGGAGCTTTTCCACTCCAAACCAAGTAATTATTACAGTATTTCTCTTTCCATAGCTTCCAGTTCTCGAGGATCTCGCTACTTAATTGACCTCAAATCTAAATGTTGCGGAGACAATGATATCTGGTGGAAAAACATTGAAAATTGTGATGCTTTAGGCGGCGAGGCACCGAAAGTTGTTTCGCTCGTAGGCATTCGTAGACGGTAGGCATTCGTAGACGGTACCCTTTCGCTGCAACATGTAATATTAGATGGCAGAGAGAACCTTAAACGAACGTCTACCGTAACTCAAGATACACAAGGCGAACGCTTATTTTAATATACAACTGCAAGTATAGCATAAATTGCAAAGCCGTTACAGGACATAAGCGTGTATATGGTGACTGTTTGGCAAATTAGCATATTATAACCTTAAATTAGGTATGTCCGCCATTTTGAATAATCAAGTCCAGCCGGTGCCAGAAACTCGTTTGTCCAGTTTGGCTATGACGTCAGTGCTTTCTCATTGGCTCACAGCCAAGCCTTTTGTTCTTTCGCTTTATAAGTTCGACACCACCCGGATGGTTGGTGTCTCCTCAATGTCCCCTCCAACATCCCCCAATATCCCCTCATATCCCCTCATCCTCTACATATACCAGCATAGCCTACAGCTCATTAATCCCCCACATATACCTATACAGCCTACATTTTATTAATCCCGTACAGAAACCTACACATTAATCCCCTTCATATACCTACACATCCTACATCTCATTAATCCCCCTCATACACCTACACAGTCTACATTTGATTAATCTCCCAATTATTCCTACACAGCCTTCATCTCATTAATCCCCCACATATACCTAAATAGCCTACATACAGCTCATTAATCTCTCACATATACCTACATTTCATCGTATTAATTCCCAACATATACCTACACAGCCCAGATCTCATGAATCCCTCACATTTACCTTCACACTTTGCATTTGTTTAAATTGTTTCTTGAGTCATTACTCATTACATTGAGTGGTTATCAACTCATGTAGAACCCAGTGGTCTTAAGATATCTTNGTCAGCAATGATGCTGATTGTGTCGGCTACACAGCCCGACACCTTTTTCAACGTCAGCTGAACATAACAATTCGGCAATCGGCAAGCATTTTCATGAAGCGCACGGTAGGAGCGATCTTTTGAATTAGAGCCATTTCAAGATTCTGAGAAAGTGCCAATACAAATTTGATTGTTTAGTGTTTGAAATGCTTTACATCAAGAAATTCAAACCTAATTTTAACGTCCAAACGGACTCCATACGTGCGAAAGCTTTTTGTTTAACTTGTAATTTTTGTAATTATTTTCATCACTTATTGTTCGTCTTAGTATTTCTGGAACCTAGTTTTTATACATTTTTGACTTAATAATGACGTCACGGTAACGTCGAAACGTCGTCAATTTTTAATTCAGCTTTAATGCTTTTAAGAAATGTTCTGTCGCAATTTGTCATTATTCTTATTATTATCTGCTATGAGATCCCAGAAAAATTCAGTTCTAGCACTCGATCAAGCTCGATCCCAGGATCTCTCTCCTTTGCCTCTCTTAAACGACGAGAAATTAAAAAAGACAGGGGAGGGGTATGAAGGGTCGTCAATAATGATTTGTCTTGCACATTTTCAAGCTTCTCCCGAGTCAACTGAAGGCCTTAGCTGGAACAGGATAGAAAAGTCACACATGCATGAGATAGACAAAGAACGGAAGTTTTTTTTTCTTTTTCAGCTCTACAACAGAACACGCTACCCACAGACTTTGAACTTCCTTAATCAATATCAATTTATTAACGAATTCGACCCGCGGTTAAAACTGTTTAATTATGTCAATGAACTTAAGAGAAAGTAAACTAAAAAGAGTGGGGGTAAATGCTAAAAACGTGATGAATATTCCATTAAGAACAACTGAAAAGTGAATATTTGAACAAATCGTTATTATTTTCTTTCTTGTAGTGGTCGTGCTATCAGTGTCAAAGTTTGACCAGTGCAGGCCCGCGATTTTGACAGCTTATCTAACTTGGTTTTACGAAAATTTGTCCTGAATAGGATGTTAAGTTCCTTTTACCGGAGTTACGAGTTGCGCAATAATAAATTCATTCGTTCCCATCGCGGAGTCATATCCTGAGGAATAACCGAAAATTCAATGAGCCTGTCAGGTAACGAAATTATCAGTGAAAGAGAAAACATTTATCAAGGATGTTTCTCTCATAATGTTAAGAGGGCTCAACACCAGAGATAGCAAGTTTGCTCAAGGTAAGATAACCATCTGCCTGGGTTTTTTATTTTTGGTTTTTTGATTCAGGTTCCCGTTCGTGAGCCGCTACACTCGTATGTATGCTGCACCGGCTAAGGTTAAATTTGCCTAGAGCGACNATAAACTTTTGTTTTTTTTCAGAAATTTTAATTCATAAATCTCAAGTCACAGTTTAAGTAGTTAGCAATTCAGCAAATACCTCGCCAGAGGAACAACATTTTAACTCTTGGCTGTTTGTGGCATGTTCATTCCAGGGTTAGCCATCGATCTTGTTGAGCTGGAGTCATAAGTGCCAATGTCAAAGAAGCGTTCTTACGGTAGGCATGTGTTCTAGTGTGTCGTACATCAGTGATCAAAAAAACATGATGCTTGCTGAATGAGTTATTATCAGACGATATCTTCATGGGAGAATAACTCAGTTATGTTGTAATATTCTATTTAACGTTCGGCAAAGCGTGGCAGGCTGAGCTGCAAGTCATCCCGAGTGGCTAACAACAATAACTTGCCGTGATGACATCAAAAAGCTGACGGGAGACATTTCTGGGAGATCGCGCTGTATTTCTTTAAAATTTTGGATTTTTTCAATCCAATGAGAAATAAATCACACCTGTTCCCTTCCCCTAGAAAAGTAATCCAAGGAACGAGAACTGGGAAGGAGGGATGGAGTGGCGCTCGTCTTCCACAAATGTGGCCCGGGTTCGAATCCGGCCCGGTGTCATGTATGGGTTGAAAATTCTCCTGTCCGTTTCTGGCCTAAAACTTTCAACCGAGGTTTTAATCATTCGAAAATCCATGCAGCTCATCAGTTATGTGATTCGAAAGCAGACTACAGTCAAACCTTCGGGAAATGATCCAATGACTTATCCGTATCTAACACTTTATACAGCAGACGCTCCACAGCAGACGCACTGGATGAAACTCGATCCCAGAAAAAAAAAAAGGGGGGAGGGATATGAAGGGTCCTCCACAGAGATTTTTTTTGTACATTTTCAAGCTTCTCCTCGGCCAAATGAAGGCCTTAGCTGGAACAGGATAGAAACGTAACACATGAGAAAGGCAAAGAACGGAAGTTTTTTTTTTCTTTTTCAGCTCTACAACAGAACACGCCCCTCACATACTTTAAACTTCCTTAATCAATATCAATTTATCAATGAATTCCGCCCGCAATTAAAACTGTTTATTTATGTCAATGAACTTGAGAGAAAGTAAACTAAAAACATTGGCGATAAATGCTAAGAACGTGATCACTATTCCATCAAGAACAACTGAAAAGTCGATATTTGAACAAATTGACATCGTTTTCTTTCTTGTAGTGGTTGTGCTATCAGTGTCAAGGTTATGGAACAGTGTCAAGGTTATAGAACAATAAGTTTATCCGTATTGAGAACAAGTCGTGTTATATAAAACATCTGGGTGTCCATGGAATCGTTAAAATAGGAGATTTGATATCTGACAATGGTATTTTTTTCGGAAGTGAAAAATTATTACAAGTTCGACTATCTCCTGTCCGCTTTAATTTTTTAAATTACTGGGCATCGTTAATTCTATTCCTAACGAATGGAAGCTTATCATCAGACAAAGTCAACAGCATATTTGTCCTCCCTTGAACGACACGTTTCAAATTAACATAGAAAGCACTAAGGTAAATGTTTTGAAAGTTACATCGAAAATGCTTTGCAGTGAATTTAGACGAAAAAAGCAAACGGTTCCTTCCTCTCAAAGAAAATAAAGCTGAAATATCCAGATCTTTCCCTGGAATGGAAAGAAATCTACTCTCTTCCGTTTACCGTCACCCGCGATACAAAAATTTCAGTACAAATTGTGAGGTAACGTCAAGAGAAAATGAGAAAGAAACAATAAAATACAAAAACAAAATACAAGTTTGAAGAGGGAGTTTCGAGGTCATACCTGTATGTAAAAAAAAAGAACCCTGAATAGAGCCATCATTAATTTTAAGAATTCAAAGATTAAATGGCAGCTTTATTGAGCAAACAATCTAGATTTTACAACTGAATTTTGATGACGTCATGTGCAAATCACCTAGACAAATAAACTACCTTAGAAATATAAAAGGGATAAAATTATGAATTCGTCGAAACAGCAAAGGTTCTTTACTAGTAAGTTATCATGAATCTTTCACCCCAGTGAAGACATAAACGTTTGGTTTTTTTCAGAATTTTTATTGCATTAATCTCAAGTCACAGTTTCAGTAAAACAAATTTAGTTTCCTGAACAAATTAAAACTAATCAGAATGTTTATTTACTATGACAGAAAACAAATCCTACGCAAATTTTAAAGGAAGATATCCACAATTTGAATTTCAAGCCACTCAGACTATAAACAACACTAATCCTGTCTTAGATATTGAGCAATTTAGCGAGTACTCCGCCAGAGGAACGATATATTAACTCTTTGTTGTTTGTGACATTGCCATTCCAGGGTTAGCCATCGAAGTCATAACCGCCAATGTAAAAGACTGAGGCCTTCTAACGGTAGGCATATGTTCTAGTACAGTGATAATCTCCAAGGTGACATGCATCAGTGATCACAATACCATGATGCTTACTGAATGAGTTAGTATCAGACGATATCTTCATGGAAGAATAACTCAGTTATGTTGTAACACCCTATTTAACGTTCGGCAAAGCGTGGCAGGCTGAGCTGCAAGTCATCCCGAGTGGCTAGCAAGAATAACTTGCCGTGATGATATTAAAAAGCTCACGGGAGAAATTTCTGGGAGATCGCGCTGTATTTCTTTAACAGCTTTGATTTTTTTTCAGTCCAATGAGAATTAAATTACACCTGTTCCCTCCCCCTAGAAAAGAAACCCAGCTAGCAGAGATGGCGGAGCACTTGCCTCCCACCAGTGAGGCCCGAGTTCGATTCCAGCCTGGTGACATATCTGGATTCAGTTTGTTGTTGGTTCTCGCCTTGCTCCGATGTTTTTTTTCTCCGGATTCTCCGGCTTTCCTATCTCAACAAAAACCGACATCTTCAAATTCTAATTCGACCGGATAGAGAACCTGCATGGAAACCAGCCACGGCTGTTGTGCTACGTCTCTGAATATTGTAATTTATTTGTTTATATATTTTTAGGAACCTGACATCCTACTAGACGTTGGTTCCAAGTAAAGATGTACATGAGTGATTATACCACGGAGTATAAATTTGCACTACCGCAAACAACATAGCCTGATGTGTTATTAATATTTCAGGTGCCTTTATTCTTGTCCTTTGAATAACGTACTGGAGATGTTACCGTATTTGGAATTCATCTTACTCTTCGTAAGCCTTTTTCCTAAGAACACTGCTGGCTCCAACAGTTGCCGCACCAGTTTTTCAGATACAGATCATGTCCTGACTGGTCACGTGATGCAGACTCTCAATCACAAGTCTTTTGAGAGCTGCACATTTTCCTGTGAACTGGAGCCGCAATGCTTCAGTGTCAACTACATTTCATTGCACAAAACGTGCCAACTGAACGACGCAACCAAGGAATACTTTCCTGGTGACTTGGTGAAACAGAAGGGATCATTTTACATGGGTATGGTGATTCGCAGTTATAACCCTTGTGCGAGCATGCGCTGTGAGAACGGAGGAACTTGTGTTAGCAGACCTTCTCTGAAGTGCAAGTGTCTGAAAGGATTCAGTGGACCTCGTTGCGAAAGTAAGAACATTTTTTCCTCTTGCTATACTCATGTGAACCAAAAGCGTGCTTAGAAATATAAGGCAAAACTTTTTGGTAGCCCTAGTTATGAGGCGGTTAAGGAAAATATATACCAACTGCAGGGTAAACAAACATACAGGCGAAAACTGTGGCTGTCAGGGAACCAAACAATGAAGTTTACAATCGATGGAACTGGCATCGCACTGTAACTTAGTGGGCTAATTTGATTTCCACAGATGGCACCAGCTCAATCACTCGATCTCTAGCCAGTTATGTTTTCAGCAACATAAATACCATGAAAGAAGCAAAATGAATGGTCCTTTAAATAAGTCACAAAGCCATCCACTTCGTCGGCATGCATTGCTTATTACTTTGTCGAAATTCCAGTCTATTGCCTCCGGGGGAACTTGAATTTTTCTGTGTGTCAGTAAAGCATGCATAGAAGTAAACTACATTCACGTCTTTTTCTCTCCAGTTCACACGGTCGTTTTTGCCGCAAATCATTTGTCGATAGGCTAACGATTTCACCAAATGACGATTTCTGAGTCATGATTTTGGCCACATACAGAAATACCGTTATATTGAACGAAACCTGAAAATAGCAGTTTACTAAGATAGAGAGACATTAAAGAGATAATGATAAACCATGAACGAACAAGGATGGTTCGGGATGGAGAAGATTGACACGGATTACAAACGAAGAACTTGAAAAGTTTAGGCAAAACTATTCAAGATGCGGAAACATGTAGTGACGTAGCTTCTTTAAGTCAGGGTCTACCAGATTATTACTAACTGTGTTTTTAAAACAGCTCTTCAAGCACTAGGGATGGAAAGTGGTACAATTCCTGATGGTAATATAAAAGCTTCGTCTGAAAAGACTGGTTATGATGCGTGGAAAGGGCGACTGAATGGTCAATCCTGTTGGATGCCAGAAAACGATAAAACCACTGAATACATCGTGGTGACGTTTGCAACAGTGGTAAGGATTGTTGCCATAGCTACCCAAGGTGCCCCAAAGGATGGTTGTTGGGTTAAGAGTTTCTCTATTCGATATGGTGCTGCGAGCGCTGTGGTAGTTGACCCTGAGGTAAAGAATTCATTGTATCCCTAACCGCTCATTTGTTTCATAATCGGGTTTTCGTCAATGAAGCCGAGTTGTAGACTGTTGAGAGTAATAACATTTTAATCCTGGCTTTGAATTCAGGCATTTTGTATTTAACCATTATCTCACGAGAGCACATTAGATATGAGACACAGTTATGACCCGGGGGCGGGGGCGGGGGGGCTCCCATATAAAATGGACGGGGGTGGTTGTCGCAAAGTTTGTAAAGAACCCCTGAGAGATACCAATTCCCTGTTTTGTGGGCGTAACCTTAAATTTATTTCATCCTTAAGAGGTATCAACTCTAAAACAACACATTAACTGACACTTTTAAATAACGATAAAAACGATTTCTTCAAATACTTTCTACTCGTAAAGTTGATTATCACATATCTCCTGTCGTACGTTTTTTNATTACAAGTTCGACTATCTCCTGTCCGCTTTAATTTTTTAAATTACTGGGCATCGTTAATTCTATTCCTAACGAATGGAAGCTTATCATCAGACAAAGTCAACAGCATATTTGTCCTCCCTTGAACGACACGTTTCAAATTAACATAGAAAGCACTAAGGTAAATGTTTTGAAAGTTACATCGAAAATGCTTTACAATGAATTTGAACGCAAAAAGCAAACGGTGCCTTCCTCTCAAAAGAAAATCAAGCTAAAATATCCAGATCGTTCTCTGGAATGGAAAGAAATCTACTCTCTTCCGTTTACAGTCGCAGACGACACTACAAACTAGGGAATTTCTGTACAAATTGTTAAATAACATTGTTTTTACATTTGATAAATTATTCATATTTAAAATGATTGATTCTCCTCTTTGCGCCTTTTGTCAAACAGAAGTCGAGTCTCCTGAGCATTTACAGTTTTTCCTGGATTTTTGAACAAAGGATAATCTCAACATCCTTAACGCTAGAAAATGAAATTTTTGGAGTATTCAATGTCGTAGGGGACTTTCATATTCTAAACCATATTATTTTATTAGCTAAATATTATATTTATAAATGTTAATTAAATGTCATACATCCTCCTTTAAAGGTCTTCATAGCCAAGGTTAAAGCAATTTACCAGATTGAACAGAAAATTGCAGCTACCAGCAATAAATTGGTGAAACATCATAAAAAATAGAACAAATCTTTACCCTGATTCAGTTAATTTAGTCTTTTTGTGATAGTGTATGTATAGATCTATTTAATAGGCCTCTCTGCTTCCTTTTTTATTTTTTGTGTCCGTCCTTTTCACATTTTTTCCCTTTTTTATGTAAAATTGTAAAACTATCATTATAGTACCTTTTCGCTCGTAGCTCTTGTACAACCTACAAATAAAAACAATAAAACACAAAAAAATAAATATAAGTTAGACGAGGGAAATTCGAGGTCATCCCTGTATGTAAAAAAAACCCTGAATAGATCCATCATTAATTTTAAGAATTCAAAGGTTAAATGGCAGCTTTATTGAGCAAACAATCTAGATTTTACAACTGACTTTTGATGACGTCAAGTGCAAGCTACCTACACAAATAAACTACCTTAGAAATATAAAAGAGACAAAATTACGAGTTTGTCGAAACAGAAAAGGTTTTTACTAGTACGTTATCGTGAATCTTTCACCCCAGTGATGACATAAACTTTTGTTTTTTTTCAGAAATTTTAATTCATAAATCTCAAGTCACAGTTTAAGTAGTTAGCAATTCAGCAAATACCTCGCCAGAGGAACAACATTTTAACTCTTGGCTGTTTGTGGCATGTTCATTCCAGGGTTAGCCATCGATCTTGTTGAGCTGGAGTCATAAGTGCCAATGTCAAAGAAGCGTTCTTACGGTAGGCATGTGTTCTAGTGTGTCGTACATCAGTGATCAAAAAAACATGATGCTTGCTGAATGAGTTATTATCAGACGATATCTTCATGGGAGAATAACTCAGTTATGTTGTAATATTCTATTTAACGTTCGGCAAAGCGTGGCAGGCTGAGCTGCAAGTCATCCCGAGTGGCTAACAACAATAACTTGCCGTGATGACATCAAAAAGCTGACGGGAGACATTTCTGGGAGATCGCGCTGTATTTCTTTAAAATTTTGGATTTTTTCAATCCAATGAGAAATAAATCACACCTGTTCCCTTCCCCTAGAAAAGTAATCCAAGGAACGAGAACTGGGAAGGAGGGATGGAGTGGCGCTCGTCTTCCACAAATGTGGCCCGGGTTCGAATCCGGCCCGGTGTCATGTATGGGTTGAAAATTCTCCTGTCCGTTTCTGGCCTAAAACTTTCAACCGAGGTTTTAATCATTCGAAAATCCATGCAGCTCATCAGTTATGTGATTCGAAAGCAGACTACAGTCAAACCTTCGGGAAATGATCCAATGACTTATCCGTATCTAACACTTTATACAGCAGACGCTCCACAGCAGACGCACTGGATGAAACTCGATCCCAGAAAAAAAAAAAGGGGGGAGGGATATGAAGGGTCCTCCACAGAGATTTTTTTTGTACATTTTCAAGCTTCTCCTCGGCCAAATGAAGGCCTTAGCTGGAACAGGATAGAAACGTAACACATGAGAAAGGCAAAGAACGGAAGTTTTTTTTTTCTTTTTCAGCTCTACAACAGAACACGCCCCTCACATACTTTAAACTTCCTTAATCAATATCAATTTATCAATGAATTCCGCCCGCAATTAAAACTGTTTATTTATGTCAATGAACTTGAGAGAAAGTAAACTAAAAACATTGGCGATAAATGCTAAGAACGTGATCACTATTCCATCAAGAACAACTGAAAAGTCGATATTTGAACAAATTGACATCGTTTTCTTTCTTGTAGTGGTTGTGCTATCAGTGTCAAGGTTATGGAACAGTGTCAAGGTTATAGAACAATAAGTTTATCCGTATTGAGAACAAGTCGTGTTATATAAAACATCTGGGTGTCCATGGAATCGTTAAAATAGGAGATTTGATATCTGACAATGGTATTTTTTTCGGAAGTGAAAAATTATTACAAGTTCGACTATCTCCTGTCCGCTTTAATTTTTTAAATTACTGGGCATCGTTAATTCTATTCCTAACGAATGGAAGCTTATCATCAGACAAAGTCAACAGCATATTTGTCCTCCCTTGAACGACACGTTTCAAATTAACATAGAAAGCACTAAGGTAAATGTTTTGAAAGTTACATCGAAAATGCTTTACAATGAATTTGAACGCAAAAAGCAAACGGTGCCTTCCTCTCAAAAGAAAATCAAGCTAAAATATCCAGATCGTTCTCTGGAATGGAAAGAAATCTACTCTCTTCCGTTTACAGTCGCAGACGACACTACAAACTAGGGAATTTCTGTACAAATTGTTAAATAACATTGTTTTTACATTTGATAAATTATTCATATTTAAAATGATTGATTCTCCTCTTTGCGCCTTTTGTCAAACAGAAGTCGAGTCTCCTGAGCATTTACAGTTTTTCCTGGATTTTTGAACAAAGGATAATCTCAACATCCTTAACGCTAGAAAATGAAATTTTTGGAGTATTCAATGTCGTAGGGGACTTTCATATTCTAAACCATATTATTTTATTAGCTAAATATTATATTTATAAATGTTAATTAAATGTCATACATCCTCCTTTAAAGGTCTTCATAGCCAAGGTTAAAGCAATTTACCAGATTGAACAGAAAATTGCAGCTACCAGCAATAAATTGGTGAAACATCATAAAAAATAGAACAAATCTTTACCCTGATTCAGTTAATTTAGTCTTTTTGTGATAGTGTATGTATAGATCTATTTAATAGGCCTCTCTGCTTCCTTTTTTATTTTTTGTGTCCGTCCTTTTCACATTTTTTCCCTTTTTTATGTAAAATTGTAAAACTATCATTATAGTACCTTTTCGCTCGTAGCTCTTGTACAACCTACAAATAAAAACAATAAAACACAAAAAAATAAATATAAGTTAGACGAGGGAAATTCGAGGTCATCCCTGTATGTAAAAAAAACCCTGAATAGATCCATCATTAATTTTAAGAATTCAAAGGTTAAATGGCAGCTTTATTGAGCAAACAATCTAGATTTTACAACTGACTTTTGATGACGTCAAGTGCAAGCTACCTACACAAATAAACTACCTTAGAAATATAAAAGAGACAAAATTACGAGTTTGTCGAAACAGAAAAGGTTTTTACTAGTACGTTATCGTGAATCTTTCACCCCAGTGATGACATAAACTTTTGTTTTTTTTCAGAAATTTTAATTCATAAATCTCAAGTCACAGTTTAAGTAGTTAGCAATTCAGCAAATACCTCGCCAGAGGAACAACATTTTAACTCTTGGCTGTTTGTGGCATGTTCATTCCAGGGTTAGCCATCGATCTTGTTGAGCTGGAGTCATAAGTGCCAATGTCAAAGAAGCGTTCTTACGGTAGGCATGTGTTCTAGTGTGTCGTACATCAGTGATCAAAAAAACATGATGCTTGCTGAATGAGTTATTATCAGACGATATCTTCATGGGAGAATAACTCAGTTATGTTGTAATATTCTATTTAACGTTCGGCAAAGCGTGGCAGGCTGAGCTGCAAGTCATCCCGAGTGGCTAACAACAATAACTTGCCGTGATGACATCAAAAAGCTGACGGGAGACATTTCTGGGAGATCGCGCTGTATTTCTTTAAAATTTTGGATTTTTTCAATCCAATGAGAAATAAATCACACCTGTTCCCTTCCCCTAGAAAAGTAATCCAAGGAACGAGAACTGGGAAGGAGGGATGGAGTGGCGCTCGTCTTCCACAAATGTGGCCCGGGTTCGAATCCGGCCCGGTGTCATGTATGGGTTGAAAATTCTCCTGTCCGTTTCTGGCCTAAAACTTTCAACCGAGGTTTTAATCATTCGAAAATCCATGCAGCTCATCAGTTATGTGATTCGAAAGCAGACTACAGTCAAACCTTCGGGAAATGATCCAATGACTTATCCGTATCTAACACTTTATACAGCAGACGCTCCACAGCAGACGCACTGGATGAAACTCGATCCCAGAAAAAAAAAAAGGGGGGAGGGATATGAAGGGTCCTCCACAGAGATTTTTTTTGTACATTTTCAAGCTTCTCCTCGGCCAAATGAAGGCCTTAGCTGGAACAGGATAGAAACGTAACACATGAGAAAGGCAAAGAACGGAAGTTTTTTTTTTCTTTTTCAGCTCTACAACAGAACACGCCCCTCACATACTTTAAACTTCCTTAATCAATATCAATTTATCAATGAATTCCGCCCGCAATTAAAACTGTTTATTTATGTCAATGAACTTGAGAGAAAGTAAACTAAAAACATTGGCGATAAATGCTAAGAACGTGATCACTATTCCATCAAGAACAACTGAAAAGTCGATATTTGAACAAATTGACATCGTTTTCTTTCTTGTAGTGGTTGTGCTATCAGTGTCAAGGTTATGGAACAGTGTCAAGGTTATAGAACAATAAGTTTATCCGTATTGAGAACAAGTCGTGTTATATAAAACATCTGGGTGTCCATGGAATCGTTAAAATAGGAGATTTGATATCTGACAATGGTATTTTTTTCGGAAGTGAAAAATTATTACAAGTTCGACTATCTCCTGTCCGCTTTAATTTTTTAAATTACTGGGCATCGTTAATTCTATTCCTAACGAATGGAAGCTTATCATCAGACAAAGTCAACAGCATATTTGTCCTCCCTTGAACGACACGTTTCAAATTAACATAGAAAGCACTAAGGTAAATGTTTTGAAAGTTACATCGAAAATGCTTTGCAGTGAATTTAGACGAAAAAAGCAAACGGTTCCTTCCTCTCAAAGAAAATAAAGCTGAAATATCCAGATCTTTCCCTGGAATGGAAAGAAATCTACTCTCTTCCGTTTACCGTCACCCGCGATACAAAAATTTCAGTACAAATTGTGAGGTAACGTCAAGAGAAAATGAGAAAGAAACAATAAAATACAAAAACAAAATACAAGTTTGAAGAGGGAGTTTCGAGGTCATACCTGTATGTAAAAAAAAAGAACCCTGAATAGAGCCATCATTAATTTTAAGAATTCAAAGATTAAATGGCAGCTTTATTGAGCAAACAATCTAGATTTTACAACTGAATTTTGATGACGTCATGTGCAAATCACCTAGACAAATAAACTACCTTAGAAATATAAAAGGGATAAAATTATGAATTCGTCGAAACAGCAAAGGTTCTTTACTAGTAAGTTATCATGAATCTTTCACCCCAGTGAAGACATAAACGTTTGGTTTTTTTCAGAATTTTTATTGCATTAATCTCAAGTCACAGTTTCAGTAAAACAAATTTAGTTTCCTGAACAAATTAAAACTAATCAGAATGTTTATTTACTATGACAGAAAACAAATCCTACGCAAATTTTAAAGGAAGATATCCACAATTTGAATTTCAAGCCACTCAGACTATAAACAACACTAATCCTGTCTTAGATATTGAGCAATTTAGCGAGTACTCCGCCAGAGGAACGATATATTAACTCTTTGTTGTTTGTGACATCGCCATTCCAGGGTTAGCCATCGAAGTCATAACCGCCAATGTAAAAGACTGAGGCCTTCTAACGGTAGGCATATGTTCTAGTACAGTGATAATCTCCAAGGTGACATGCATCAGTGATCACAATACCATGATGCTTACTGAATGAGTTAGTATCAGACGATATCTTCATGGAAGAATAACTCAGTTATGTTGTAACACCCTATTTAACGTTCGGCAAAGCGTGGCAGGCTGAGCTGCAAGTCATCCCGAGTGGCTAGCAAGAATAACTTGCCGTGATGATATTAAAAAGCTCACGGGAGAAATTTCTGGGAGATCGCGCTGTATTTCTTTAACAGCTTTGATTTTTTTTCAGTCCAATGAGAATTAAATTACACCTGTTCCCTCCCCCTAGAAAAGAAACCCAGCTAGCAGAGATGGCGGAGCACTTGCCTCCCACCAGTGAGGCCCGAGTTCGATTCCAGCCTGGTGACATATCTGGATTCAGTTTGTTGTTGGTTCTCGCCTTGCTCCGATGTTTTTTTTCTCCGGATTCTCCGGCTTTCCTATCTCAACAAAAACCGACATCTTCAAATTCTAATTCGACCGGATAGAGAACCTGCATGGAAACCAGCCACGGCTGTTGTGCTACGTCTCTGAATATTGTAATTTATTTGTTTATATATTTTTAGGAACCTGACATCCTACTAGACGTTGGTTCCAAGTAAAGATGTACATGAGTGATTATACCACGGAGTATAAATTTGCACTACCGCAAACAACATAGCCTGATGTGTTATTAATATTTCAGGTGCCTTTATTCTTGTCCTTTGAATAACGTACTGGAGATGTTACCGTATTTGGAATTCATCTTACTCTTCGTAAGCGTTTTTCCTAAGAACACTGCTGGCTCCAACAGTTGCCGCACCAGTTTTTCAGATACAGATCATGTCCTGACTGGTCACGTGATGCAGACTCTCAATCACAAGTCTTTTGAGAGCTGCACATTTTCCTGTGAACTGGAGCCGCAATGCTTCAGTGTCAACTACATTTCATTGCACAAAACGTGCCAACTGAACGACGCAACCAAGGAATACTTTCCTGGTGACTTGGTGAAACAGAAGGGATCATTTTACATGGGTATGGTGATTCGCAGTTATAACCCTTGTACGAGCATGCGCTGTGAAAACGGAGGAACTTGTGTTCTCAGTCCTTCTCTAGAGTGCAAGTGTCTGAAAGGATTCAGTGGACCTCGCTGCGAAAGTTATGATCCTTGCGTGAGCATGCGCTGTGAAAACGGAGGAACGTGTATTAGCAGGCCTACTTTAAAGTGCAAGTGTCTTAATGGCTACACTGGTCTTCACTGTGACGGTAAAAACATCATTTTCGTTTAGCTTTCTTTAGCGTCTTTTTTGTTTTCTAATCAAATAATCAATATACTGAGAGGTGAGATTTAAGTCTTACAATATGCCAATGTAAACTACTGTTAGAATTTTAACTCCTGTCCTAAGATTAAGTAACTTGAGTGAAACGTTTTTTGTAGCCCATATATTACTAACTACTTATTAACCGAGAGTCGGGTCTTTACGGGAAAATCTCAAACCGAGATCTTGCCTTATTGAGGTCAATACGACAAAGTATTGCTCGGTCAATACGGCAAGGCGGAGGTTTGAGATTTATCCGTAAAGACCGACCGTTACATGTTCGTAAAGAGATGAATTCAAGGTTAATAAGTTGTTTATTTTATCACATCTTGTTTGTTTTTGCAGGCCGTAATCGGCCCGTGGGCACTATGGGAGAATAATGCCCTGGAATAGACCAATTTCGATATATTAAAATTCAGCCAAAAACAATAGACCTCAGCACGAGGCTCTGGGGAATAAACGCCACAAAATCTGACTGATGTCTATTGTTTTAGGCTGGATTTTAATATACCGAAATTGGTCTATTAGTCAATCAGAGGGCGCGTTATATGGCTGCAAACACAAGCCATATAATAAAAGGCTATCACCAGAATCAGAGCACCCCGAATTATAACAATGGTTTTTCTTTATAACAATACTATTTGTTTTAATCAGCTCTTCAGGCTCTTGGAATGGAAAGCGGGGCAATTCCTGATGGGAGTATAAAAGCTTCCTCTACAAAGACTGGTTACGATCCTTGGGACGGACGCCTAAATGGAAACTCCTGTTGGATGCCAGCACAAAATAGCAATTCCGAGTACATTACGGTGAGGTTTGTAGCCCAGGTAACCGTTGTTGCCATAGCAACGCAAGGTGCCCCTATCGATAGCTGTTGGGTGAAGAGTTATATTATTCGATATGGTGTTCGACTTGCTATATCACAAGACCCCAAGGTAAGCTACTTACAATCTTTGTAATCCTCTCTTAATTACATGTATTTGCAACAACAGCAACTATTCTAAGATGTTCTGAAAAATTCGAAACAAACCAACCTCTCGTAGCAATGATAAGTGAATAAAGATGGTGAATTTTAAGCTCGGTAATGAAATGTGAAAGATTAATTGATCAACATGACACAAGCGTGGGACAAAGAAAAACTCTGAGTCTCGGACAGGAATCGAAGCCATGACCTCGACAGTGCTGATCCTAGCAGTATGCAGGACGCCTGTCACATATGAACTCAGTTAAATGACCTTGCTCTCCATGAGTTCTCGTAGCTCAGTGGATAGAGCGGAGCAGTCCCATTCTATGAAAAATTGCAGCTCATTGACGAGAGCCTTAAGGCTGTCATTGAGTAGTTGGGTGAGTCTAATTAATGGGCCGAAAATTTAGCGGCAATACAAAGAAGGCAATGAAAGCTCTAGAATGTATTTTTACCGTGAATGTCTGACTGGATAAAGACCAGCTCGTATTATGGAAGGACAAGTTACCGAATTACCTCAGCAAGGCAGCGGTCGAAAAGCAAGAATTTCGAAAAAAAAAAAAACCTCAATGATCAACTAACTGATGAAACAGTTAATGAAATCTGTCCTCGCAAAATAGCGTGGTGATTTGTCAGTTTCTCAAAATCAATCATTTGCCTCAATTAGCGTTCGGCCTCTGCAAATTACTGATCTAGCAGCTGCTGACAATTTGCGGTATTTTTCTCAACTCCCTTTCCCGGTATGTGTTCTTTCTTTTGTGTCCAGAAAAACAGAAACAAACTATGTTTATTTTTGATGCAGGTGTACCAAGCGAATTCAGACAAGGCTAGCATTGTCACAAACAAGTTCTCAAGTCCTCGCTCTGCCGAATGGATCAGTATCGCTCCAACAAGTTGGTCGTCTTGTATTGCGCTGAGACTAGAAGTGTACGGATACTAGTAGCTACAAACTGACGCTTCTTTATGGGTTTACTTATGACATCCTTGCTGACCTGTGTGAGCATGCGCATGTCTACTTTGTTATCTCTCATAAGCTTACTCGACCACTTTTGGAACTGCAAACGGAGTGTTCAGAAAAAAATCGTTACGATGCCTGAAATATCAGTCCTATCGTTCTGAGTAACGGAAAAGACAGTAATGATTGCCTAAGACGAGGTTTACTCTATAAGTTATAGAAAAATGAAACACCAGCTACCGTTAAATGCCGTCTGTACGTAAGCCCTGGGCTTATCTAACCTCGTGAAGGCTTAGACGAAAGTGACCCTGATTAATCGTTCAATCTCTTGTACATTCCTATTTATATGGCCAGGGAAATTTTATAAAGCGGAACCTCCCGTAAGCGACCACCTAAAATGTCAAGCCTTGCCGGTGGTTGCTTACCAGAGCTTAGATCATATCGGGTCAAACTTTTGCCTCATTAGCATTATGGTAACTGCAGAGACTTACCCCCTGCTTTAAAAGTTTTATTCTTGTGAAAAGTCAATTTTGAGAAAAAATCCGGTACTTCCCGTTGAGAAATTTCCGTCTCTTGTACTATCCTAGCCTGCGAACGCAGATGTATTTCGGCTGTCGCTAGTCTCCGCCGAAAATAACGTCTGCGAACCCGAGCTAGGAAACGATTTCTGTG